CTACCACCTGTCCTTCTTCGAAGGCTACCTCCATGAACTTTCTAACTGTTAAGATGGCATCAACAGTTGACCTTCCGCGTCTGAAACCATATTGGGCTGAACTCAGGTTTGGACCTCTTCCATTTAGGTGATTGGTTATTCTATCCGCAACTATCCTTTCAAGAATTTTGACCTCGTCATCTATCAGACAGATTGGCCGATAGCCCGAGGGTTGGTCTTCCGGTTTTCCTGCTTTTCTCAGGAGAACCAATTTTGCCGTTTTCCACGTTGCAGGTAGGCTTCCTTTCTTGAGGCATTCCGAGAACAGACTCTTAATTTCCAGCTCCAGTTCCGTGATTATAATTGCCCATACTTTGGCCGGAATACCACAAGGGCCAGGAGCCGCATTTTTCCGAACCATCCTCCTGACCGCCGACTTCAGTTCATCTGTTGTGACCTTAAAGCTCTCTTGCCAAGATTTATATCCCTCTTCTGGGAGTGGTGGCTCTGTCCATTCTTCTAAGTCCTCGGCTGGTGGAGGAAAAAGGCCTTTTAATACCCTATTTAATATAGGTTCTTCCAGCGTTTCCGTTAAAGGTGGGGTCCACCTCCGTAGTTTCCCCATCACCGACTGATACGGGCGACCTCATGGGTTCTCGTTTAGGGTACCAACGAAATCCTTCCAAGCTAGGGCTTTAAATTTCCTTAGAGCCTTACTAAGCGCCCTTTTGGCCTCCTTGTATTCACCGATTCTCTGATCTCTCTCTAGCTGATCGTCTAAATTTTCCTGTCTTCGAAAACGTTTTAGTTTTCTTCTTGCCCTTGTGGCTATCGCCCGCAATTGCGAAAGTTCATCATTCCACCAGGGCATAGCCTTCACAGATCTAGGAGACGATTTGGGCATGGCAGTCTCGCAGGCATCCGACACCATCTTCTGTAGATTAGCCACGCTGATTTCTATGTCCACTGGTTGATTTGGGTTATTCCAACTTCCCACAATGATCGCAGCCCTAAGTAAGTCCTCATCTAGCTTCTTAACAGCCCATCTTCTCTGATTCGGCATTTTCTCTTTTTGGATTTGAAGATTTGTTTTGCCAAATGATATTTCTATGTACCTGTGATCTGAGGCACTTTCCAGATTTGAAACCTCCCAATTCAAGATCCGAGCTGCAGCTTTCTGGTTGGCAAAAGTCAAATCAACTATAGATTCTCCCGAGCTACGTATGCACGTACTCTTACCGCCCTGGTTTAAGCATATAAAGTTCATGCTGTGTACCCAATTAGCAACGAACGTGCCTCTTACATTCGTTGTTGGGAGATTCCCACAACACTGCCTTGGCATTAAAGTCGCCGCCTATCAGGATAGGGGAATCATGATGGCACCACACGCTTCTCTCCATCTCTTCAGTCGCCCTTTCCACCTCTGAGAAGCTGATATTGGGAGACAGGTACGTACCAATCACCATAGTGTCCCCCCATTTGACTGTCACGTGGTGTTTCCCCCTGCCAATAGGGACACATACCAGAGGATGTCTAGTTTTCCTCCAAGTTATAGCCACCGTTTTATTCTCATTTGTGTACCACATCGGATTATTTTGCGGTATCATATACGGTTCCGACACGACCGCCAGTGCAAAGTCTCCCTCTGCCATCCGCTGTAGCATCATATCGTGCCCATCCCTAGAGTGGTTGATATTAATTTGGAGAATGTTGTTTGACATTGTCCTTAGTCAATTCCGTCTTCCTAATTTGCACAGTAGTTTTTTCCTGTATCCATGGTTCTCCATCAACCGGGTATTCCATAGGGATAGTATCATCCATTTGAACCACTTCCATCACTTCATGGGTCGGTGCTACCTCTACTATTTTACTAATCTCCGGAGTTTCTATTCTACATTTCTCCATAGATTTAATTACACTTCCTTCCCTAGAATATCTAGATTGCGGCTCAGTTACTTGAGACAGGCCTGGTTCCGCAGCTTCCACCTCCATAGGTGTGGAGGTCATACGAGTGCTCACATTTAATTTACGGGCTGGCGTTCCTTTCTCCGTTTTAATCTTGCAGGCAACACCCCCCATTCTGTGATCCGATCTCCTCCCTCTACTGGCGCACACAATGCAGTTGACCGGGTTGTTGCAACCTCTTGCTGGATGTCCTATTCCTCCACATCTATAACAGGTGGACCCCCGATCTATATTGCTGTTACATTACGCTCTCACGTGTCCTATTTCTAGGCATCTGTAACATTGAGCTAGTCTTTCTGGAAGAAGCTCAACCCTTACCGCTGTCCAACCTATTTTTATTCTCGCTGAATTAGTAATTATCTTGGCAGCAGCGAGTGGGCATTTCACGATTAATGAACCCAGCCCATTTAATGACTGGGAAATTTCACCTGCCTTAATACAATCACTATTACAGCCTCCGATCTCAGCGATTTTACTAATAATCTCTGACCTTGACATTGATTCAACGAGATCTTTTATTCTCATATCCGCCATTTTCTCCGGCCTAGAAATGAGTACATTGCGGTTGTTTAGCAGTACTTCCTTTAATTTGTCCGCCAGTTCATTGGCTTTGGCAGCTCCATCTTTGCCAGGAATTTCCAGTAACAAGGCACCGGTTCTGGCTCTCCTAGGTCGTATTTCTGGGATTCCCAATTTGTCGATGTCAATCTTCTCCTTAGCTATCCTCAGGACGTCGGCATATTGCACGCCTTCACAGCAACTGATCTGGACAGCGGCTATGCGCGGGACCCTTCTCGTATTTGGAATGGCAGGCCTCTTATCATTATTTCCTTTCTTTTCTTCTTTCTTCTTCGTGTCCATTTTAATTTTCTGTCTTTCTCGACGACCGAGAACACGGGACCAAGTCTCTTCCTTTGATACTATGGACTTTTCAGGTTCTCTTACGCGATGAATTTCTATCCTATTCTCTGGCTCTATGACCGAGATAATTCGGGGCTTTCCCATTTTAGAGTTTTTTGGATCCTTATTCGGATTATCTTTCAGGTTCGCTTTCCTTTCTTTATCCTTATCAGTTTGGTTACCTAACCTTTTGTCAATTTCTCTGCTAACTATGTTACTAATCATTTTAGCTAGTGTTGTTGAATTC